GTAACGAGTGACCTTGTCAACTGAATGATGATTGTTTCGTAAGTTGTTTATTTATTTATTAATTTTTTTTAATTGATGAAAATGACACGAAGTATGAAAAAAAACAACAACATCTTATAATGAAAAAGTCGAACACCAAAAAAACTACAACAACAACGCATTCTTAAATGTTAAATTGGAAAAACAAAAGTATGTTGACTGAGGTCATACATAGATTGGTAACATTGAATATTGATTGGTATTGTTTTTTTTTTAAAAATTTATTAGGAATGTTGTGTATTATTGAGATTCTGCAAAACAATGTTATAATACTTGTACTGATTGATCATTGATTAGTGACTGATGTTAAATCTTTCTGGTCTATTTGTACTAATCGCATACTAATCGTATGCTGAGGAGACTCACAATAGGACGAAACGGCCATCCAGTACTTCCAGGTTTTCCATGGTGGTCTAACTTCAATTGATTCATGATCTCAACTATTAAAATTATTATAATATCCACGAAACCCCTTATGATAATAATCGTATTCTGTCAATCAAGTTGTAACATAGTTACCTGTTTTGTCCCGTGGAGATTTATTAATGGCAAGTTCGAGGACTATTTATGGATAAATGTGATATGTATATTTCCTATTGTATAGTTGCCAAGTAACTTAATTATTTATATTCGTGTTCCTCTTATCATAAGCTTTATTTTGACCCATAAACTATCACTATACGATTTACCATTCTTGAGTTATCCCTAGTCCATTAATTACTGTTCCCCCTATTCACAACCACATTTGGCCAAATCTTGTGCAAATTTTATTTTCTATTTTATGATACGATGTGGTCAGTTTGTTTGATATATAAACCCAGTATGTTTGAGAATAACGATTTATATTGCGGAGGCTGTTATTGGTGTTCTGGACTGAACTGGCTGGGCTAGGCTGATAGCAGGACTGACAAGTACTCAAGACTGCTCATACGGTTTTCCGTGTATCATTGGGCGCTCAATAAATTCACTGCTCTCCAATTGGCGGTCATATAACTTCATATATTAAACAGGGCACGCACTCAATCGATATAACACTACCAGTCTAAATGATTCGACATCTTATGAATTATGTTTTAATGTCAAATGGGTGTAGGTAGTCTACAGGAAACTATGGACCTGGGTTTTTTCTTATTAGAGCTCATCACCTAGGTATACCTATCAAATTATGGGATCTGTTGCTGCCTAGTGGATTTGAAGACGAGTTTTTTTTTCACCAGCTACCTCGATCTACCTAATATAATGATGAAGAATCCCTAATCAAGAGGCCATATTTATACATTACCTACAAAACAACAGCTGATCTTGGAACAAATGACTAGGTTGGTTGTCAATATAAATTCACTTCTATCTAACTCTAAGGTATAACTAGGCATAGCATAAAAAATATGAGAACTGAATACATAAATCTGTACCTAGTTCTTTAGTCACATTTGTGTGATATCATTGTTTGTTAGTTTATTTGTGATTATTGATCATAGAAATATCATTATATAATCGTCAATAGTAAACATTCTGTTTAGTCTTCGAAATTCTCAATTAGCGATCAAGTTTATAAGGATTAACGATTACCTACTTGAGTTATGGGTAACTTTCAGTACAGCAATAATTTTTTTAATGGTTTAAATCACGAACTGATCTTAGCTAGATGAACATTGAAAAGTTGAAAACACAAAATTTAACATAAGTATTTCATCTAGAGAAAAGAGATAAGAATTAGAAAAGAGTAAAAAAAAAACATGTATTTGGATTATCAAGGGCATCTTAGAAAAGAAGGGTTAGACAAATATAAGAATAAAAGGGGTTTTGTGGAGATTTCAGTATTTTCATAGTTGAAATCATGAGCCAATTGAAGCTAAACCACTCTTGAAAACCTGCTGAGGAGTCCCATAATAGGACGAAACGACCGTCCAGTGCTTCTAGGTTTTCAAGGGTGGTCTAATTTTAATTGACTCATGATTTCAACTATGAAAATATAAGAACGATTAATTCCTCAAAGTTTGGATAGATTTACTACTGAATTCATTTGGATTATCTTGATTAATTACTTAAAATATCTTTCTTGAAATGTAATAGATCCCAAATAGAACGCTTAAAACTTTTCACTATTTCATTGAATTAATAATATTGGAAGACGAATGTTATGTATTTGATTGATAGTGACTGATATATGCATGATGTAAATTTACCGGTTTGAAAGCAATGAATAGTTTTATTAATAGTTAAAATCTCTAAATGGATTTCGATGAACTCTAATTCCTAAGCACTTATAATCTCAATCATGTAAATTTAGTTGGATATTTACCATAATTCTAAATAGCTTCCAATTACTAAGATTATTTGAAGAAACTATATTAAGATTTATTAGATTTTGTTCCTTTAAAATATCAGACTTTAGAATTTTCACAATGCACTTGATTGGTTGGAAATATTATGGTAAATTTCTGGACTCTGAGTAAAATTTCAAAGACAAACGAGTAAAATGTAGAAGTCATGGTCATTGAAATTCAACTATGTCGTGTGTAAGACATTTATTTCCCTCAGATCACCTAAGAGACTAGCACAACATCATGAATTGTTTATTGTTTGATATGTACTCTATTGGATTCTGTCTTAGTGATTTAAAGATTAATCATTCACGCATGAGGTCAAATTTATTTGGTCTTATCCTCGAATACGATGTTGTAAATATGCACTACCGAGGTGTCCCATACTAGGATAAAACGGTTGTACAGTACTTCCAGGTTTTCAAGGATAGTCTAATTACGATCAGTTTACGTTTTAAAATCTATGAAAATTCTACGATCTTCACAAAACTGTATACTGAGAAATATATGTTTAAAAATGAAATGATTTAGGTGTCGATCTTATTGTCAAATAAAATTCATTTAACATGACTTAATTCATTCATTCATAATACTATTACTACTACTATTGTTGTGTGCTACTGATGTCAACAGATAGAAGTAGTATGTATCATCAATCAAAAGTAAAATGCCTCGAGGCAGAAGCTTATAAAAATCAAAGAAAAGAGAAAGAGAACAAAAAAACGATTGGTATGGAAACGAAAGAAACAATGAAGTCTGAGACGATTGACTGATATTTACAAAAGGAACAGTCAACTATGAGACAATTGATTGACATTTTGCAAATGAAGTACTTCATGTATGGTTGTCAGATTTTACTAAGATGCTCTGTAATTTTGTATGTGAATACATTCAATTGTCCCCACTTCTGTTCTCATTCTCTAAACTGCTACAATTATCTTAATGGCAATAATCTGTATTTCAGTAGTGTAAGGGCTTTGTGGGAATTATTGAACTTAACGATTTTTTTGATAAAGTAACCTTAGTTAAACAACCATTGGAAACCATGATTGGCTGGACAGCTTTTTTATTCTAATATAGAACTCCTCAGAAGTGCATGTCCATATCTCATCAAAAAGAATTGAACTTAGGGTCCTTATTTCTTCCGGATAAGAGCTCATCTATAGATCACTGCGAAAATGGTTTATAATGTCTGATTTCAGTCATTTCTTAACTGTGTTGTCTGGCACATTTTGGTTTTTAGTGGTTTTAAAAAATGTAAAATAATTATGTAGTACAAAAGTCTTAACAGATACATTTCTGTAAAATGAAATGTTGACCTCTTTAATGTCTATCATAATGCTTTGATTAGTCATGAATGAAAATAAATTTTATCTAAGGAAATTCATGTAAGTGAATTGTATAAGTTTTAAAATAGAGTTTCATACATTATATAGTCGGAAGTAGTTAACGAGAATCTACGGATATAGGTTTAGCAATAGTTGGGACTCAGGATCAGTGCTTGTTTACAGCTGTTCCTCTAGTAGAGCTTTAGACTTGTGTCATTTAGCTTCGTAATTACAGGCATTAACGCTAAGGTATTCGCATTTCGACTAGGCTCTTGTCAAACTAAAACGTTTACACATGATCAATAACTAAGTAGGAACTATGTAACATTAAACTGTGTACACATCGGTATTGAATTATTCAACAGAAATTTTAGTTTAACCTAGGTTTCTTGATAGTTGGTATTAGTCAGTAAAGAGTATCTGATACTCCCTGAGGTATTCAAAAACACATACTAGCAGTGTGAATGCATTGAAGCACAATACCTGTATTTTTTTATATAATACATCAGTAGATATTTCAATAAATGTCATTTGATTCTTAGGTGTTTAATGATAACGACTAGTGTTCTCTGTCTCTGAGAAGGTGAACTAATCACAGCTAGTCTTAGCAATAGTCTATAATCATCATATCAATGGATTGGGGATTAGAATTATGGAAATTTTCTTTGACTGTTTGTTGAGCTGTTAAAAGAGTTTGGTGGAATGTTTTATCAAGTTAATTCACTTAGATTAGCAACCATATTACAACAATTTGATCGATAGAACTCAATCATCACTGTGAACTAAACAAATAAGATATTGATCATTGCTACTTCATCAATTATTGTTCTGTAATCATCTGAAAGGGTTTATTTAAGATGTAAACTAGTATTAACTTAGGTTTAGATGATTTTAGATGATAATCATATCCTCACTAGTGACGGTCTCCTAGAGCTATTTCCTAAAGTTCTAAAGAGAAGCATAGACCAGTGGAGTTCAAACGAGTCTGTTATGAGATAGTAATTCACTGAACACAATGGTGAACTGTGGAGCAATTTCGTGAATTGATTGACGTTAGACACTGATACCGTTGATTAAGTGTTCGCGCGCGAGACAGATGAGTCGTAGGTTCAAATCCCGCGAGTGGAATCGTGGATACGCGCTTCTGGAGAAGAAATAGTCATCCAATGCTCCTAGATTTTCCATGATGATCTATCTTCCATAGATTCATGAAATCAACTAATAAATATAACAATACCTCATTCAGAAAATAGTATACATTTTAGAAAAAAAAAACAAAACAGAAAAGCTTTATTTCTATTTTACTTACCATATAAACGACTAATTGCATCTTTTTCATTCATATTAACAATTTTTAATTGGTCCGGTTTCAATGATGAAATCGCTGATATATCCGCATTATTATTATTCATAGTATTAGTTGAAATAGATGGAATATAAATGAAATTAGTGAATATACATAGAATAGAATACCATAGAATAGTATAATATAGTTTTATCATTAAATGATATATCATTCTTGTGAATAAATGTATTAACTATAATAATTAATGTTATTAGTTACCATGGAGAATCAAATAGCAAATATCATAGTTCCAATGAATATTAGATCAGTTTTTTTTATCATTATACTACTGATTTGTATAAGATCCAAATTTTTTTTGTCTTTTTTTTCGTTCCTTTTTTTTATTTTTCTTATCTGAAATACGCTCCATAGATTCTTTTAAGTTTTTTATTTTTTTATTTTTTTTTGAGGAAAGATGATAAAACTGAAGAAGTCCAGATAAATTAGTTGGACGAAACGTTGGAATGACTGATTTAAAATTTTAATCACTGAGATTAGTTTAAACAAACTTTCCAGTATGATTTTAATGATGAAAAATTTATGATTTGAGTACTATGATTTGAATTATAATAGTCACTTTTTAGTTTTCAGTAATTTATTCAAGGATTTTTTTTGTTGGTGTTGTCTTCGTCAAGAGATAAATCAGTACAAACGGTAGTAATTGCTTAGTTCAATAACTGTACACACAAACATACATATTCATACATATACATATGTATATGTATGTTTGTGTGTGTATTTACACTAAAGTGTGCCAATAAATATGTGCATTATTCTTTTTAGTACCAATTGTAAATGAAGAATTACAAATTGGTTGGTGTTTTTTTGTTGTTGTTGTTCTATTAAGTTAGATTGACCAGTCCTGTGTAAAATAAAGCTCTATGACAAAAAAAAATAAACACCAGTATATTTGTGATCTTATAATTTTATAATAAAGGATTTACCGGTGTTAGCATTTATTATTTTGAACAGATCAACACAATTAATACAATCTTGTATATTTTGATGGAGTTTTGTTCTCTGAGATGGATGGTTTGGTCGTGGAGCTTTCATCATCCTTCTGAACGACATCATCAGCACAAACTTTGGGTAGAAAGGAAGTGTTTAAATCTCTCTGTCATTGCTTAAGGTCAACAAAAACCAATCAATATCGAGGTGCACAGAACAAGCCGTGAATCACATGTGGAGAAATTCCAACACTTCACTTCTACCCGAAGTTTGTGTTGATGATGTCGTTCAGAAGGAAGATGAATGCTTCACTACCAAACTATCCAGCTCAAAGAATAAAACTCCAACAAAATCACCCACCTGAGTTACAAATCTTCTCCACCATCACAATCTTGTATTTATTAATTATATTTAAAGAATAAAACCCTATGTTACGATAGGTATCTTTTTGTAAAAACACAAACAGATGACTATTAAGATGATGTATATTATCAAAGGAGAGGATCAAATGAGGGGATACAATTTTTAAAAGTTTGAAATATGATCGGTTTTTATAGTCTTTCTATTTAGCTCTGTGATCAATCAAAACAATCAGTTCTTTGAACATTCAATGAAGAGACTACTTTAAACAAATACTGTGACTTTTCTATAATTTTTCAGCAAATTGTTATTCATATTATTCTAGTCATGTTATCTCATACGTTCTGATGTAATATTCACAACCTACTTATTTTAAAAACAAATGACCCATATTTTATAGTTGAATTCATGAGTCAATTAAAGCTAGGCTACCATGGAAAACCTGGAAGCACTGAACGGTTGCTTCGTCGTGTTGTGGGACTCCTCAGCAGTGGGCATCCATGACTCCACCTCAAGAGATTCGAACCAGAACCTATCAGTTTCGCACTTGACCGCTTAACCTTTAGACTACTGAGCCGGCATCCAACGGTGTCCAGTGCTTCCAGGTTGTCCATGGTGGTCTAGCCTCGATTGACTCATGATTTCAACTATAAAATTACTAAAATCTTCACAAAACCCCCTTCTGACCCATATTTGTCAGCGAATAGGAAAATTAGCGTAATGATGATAATTGGGATAAAAAATAGCTTCAGAAATCAATTTTTATAATTAGAATCCAAATATAAACTAATTTGTGCAAATTATCCACTTATCACTGAATCACAATTTTATGACTATAAGGTTTCACTTTTTGTTATCAAATTATGAAATTTTATGGTTGAAATCATGAGTCAATTGAAGCTAGACAACCATGTAAAATATAGGAGCATAGGATGGCCATTTCATCCTAGTATGACAATCATCAGCAGTGGGCATCCACGATCCTGCCTCGCGAGGCTCGAATCCAGGACTCATCCGTCTCGCGTGCGAACACTTGATCGACTTCCAATGACATCAGTGTTTAACTTCAACCAATCTACGAAATTGCGCCATCGTCCACCATTGTGTTCATTAAGTTACTATCTCACAACAGACTCGTTTGAATTCCACTGTCACTGTTTCTCACTAGAAATCTAGGAAATAGCTCTTGGAGACCGTCACTAGTGAGGATATGATGATTATAAAGAGAGATGGGTTTTGTGAAGATTTTAGTAATTTTGTAGTTGAAATCATGAGTCCCACACTGGGTGAAACGGCCGTCCAATGCTTACAGGTTTTCCATAGTGGTCTAGCTTCAAGTGATTAATGATTTCAACTACAGAATTACCAAAATCTCCAAAACACCCCCTTCTGATAAATTATGAAATGTTTAGTGTTTTGGAAATTATGGTTTAAATTCTTGATAACAAAACATTTTACATATCACATACTACTTAGGTTATGAAGCTAAAATATTAGTGATGAAAGACCTTGACCAATGTGTAAATCGTTCATGTCCAATGTGACCTTGAGGAGTCTTTATGAATGTAAAAATAGGCAGTTGTGTATTAGGTATATAACATTGAATAAGAGATTCAAAACCTTATATTTTTAGGTAAATATTAAAACGACAATGTACAAAGCAACGTAACAAGGCTGTTACCTACCGATGACATTGAAAGATGATTGAACAATGTCGTTGATTGATTGAAGTTTAAAGTGTAGACTGTTAGCCCTCGGCTCTTCTGTTCAAAGGTTAAGTGATCTCTGAGAGACCTGAAGATCAGTTTCATATTATGAAGAAACAGCTGTCCAAGTTTCCAATTGTTGTTTAAAAAGGATCAGTTCATAATGTAAACTATAAAAATGTAGAAAGTATTTAGCCTGTGAGGTTTGACTAAGTCAGTTGAAACTTCAAATATTAGACGATTGGTAACATAGTCCTCCACTATCGATTTGATGACTTGTTTTAAGATTCTTGTGGAGCTTATAATTACTCATAGTTTTGAGGCAATTTTATTTTGGGATGATATTAAAGATACTCGCTTCATTTAATACCATGTGTTTGATTACAAGAAAGAATTTTCATTACAAAATAAGCAGTGTTACAACAAAATCCCTGCCTTTTGGCCAGTTAACTTGTGAACAGCATAAATACATACATTTGAAGTATTTTTCAGTTGTGACTAATTGCTCTCCACGTTCGTCCATAAAAGTTTCCTACCGATTCAGAAGGATTTACACTCAATATATGAATTTCGAAAGTGAAAACCACTTCTGTACCACTGACTGTGAAGAATATAAATTAACCACCATCGGATTTACGGAACATCTGGCGACCTGCTTGAATATCTGAGCTACCTGTTCATGCCATCTAGATATTTCAACAAGTTACATGTTTTTGTTTTAACACATCATAATATCTATTAATCACATAACCTATTCAGGCACGTTTATGTAAAGTTTACTACCTTAAGCTGTACAACTTACAAAAAAGTACAATCAGAGACATCTTGTTGGCCGTCAATATACATTGAAAAGAATGAACTTTATTCAGTTATCAATTCCTGAATTGTCGACATTAATCTGGCGATCACTAATTGAGGTATACTGTCTTGAATTCTTACTAAGTCGTTAGATTAAAACAAATAAGTAACAGGGAAAATTTATCAATAATACTCAATTGGTTGTTTAATGAATAACCCAAATACTTAAGCAGATCATCATTACGTCAACATAGTTATGTTGATTATGTATCACAGAATACAGACGTAAAAGTTCATGTACATCATAACGAAATTGTATTGAACACATTATATACTACTGATAACAAGTTGGTCATAATAAGTATTTTGAATTTATGACAATATACTACTAATATCCTAAAAAATATAAAGATTACGCTTTCCTAACAAAATCTTTATATATAAATATAAGTAACAAATGTATATGGTGCCAGAGAAATTAACGATGACATTCAAGTTAATATATATAAATACGTTTACTAATATTTATCTATCTAAAATGTAGTAAATGTCATGTCTAGCCTTCCATATATGGATATGAATATATAAACTGTATGATTAATGTCATAGAAATTCGAAAAGAAATTAATATAAGATCATCATCGTCATCAGACTCTTAATACAAATTTATGCTTGTGTGGGCTTTATTAGACAAAAAAGTATAAGTTATCTTAATTAGTAAGCAGAATTGGATGATGGCTAGCATTGGAAACTGAAAACTACATGTACCCACCCTCTTATTGATGTCCACACAAGGATTCGAAACCAGTTGCTTTTACTTCAGACACTCAATTCATCATTCATTTAATTACTGAATCAAAATAGTCACTAGCTTGTGTAACAGATAGATTTTAATTCATTTGTAAGAGTTGTTTGGGCTTTTCCGTTGTTGGTGTTAAGGATTACAACTAATATGTGGATCTTGTGTAAATCGTCTTGATATTACCATTACGTTACTAGCAATATTAAGAAGTTTGATAGGGATGAGCAGTACAATTCAGGATGCATATTTCGTCTTATTTGACATTCATGCAACTCTGCTTAATATAACCAAGACCTAATGACAATATCGAAACAATCTGCTCAGCAAGCACATACCTTTAAAGGAGTTTGATCAATTTTAGACCTTAACAACAACAACAACAACGAGTAAAGCAAGTAAAGCATACAGATAGTTCATTCAATTCAGGAGTGTAACAGATATTAACTAAGACATTTTATAATGTTTGCACTATATTCTAAAGTAAGTGATGTTGGAGATGAGGAGTGGTGAGCTGTAACTCTGTAATTCAAAGTTATTGTATTCATTATTAAACCTGAAGCTACTAGGTTCGATTTCAGAGTGAATGTTATGGGTTAGCACTGCTATTACTTTGAAACTTAAGTGAAACGACTGTCCATTACTTCTCAGTAATCCAGCTGTTCTCTGGTTAATATCGATATGATTTAATTAACACTAAACGACTAGACATATTTAATGTTGGGTACCAGTCAATGACCGATCAATTGTAAATGTCTCAGTTCTGCACGAAGTTATCTGTAGCTTGTATGTTTCAGCAGTAACTTTACGGATAGTGAAGCTGAGTGATATGAATCTCCATCTCACAGTAATCATTGTTGCAATTACGATAGCAACCATGTCCCTACTGAGGAGTCTCAACGAGCATAAAACCTATATCGACGGTTTCTTACTGATTACCTTCATCCATCTGAATTACTTCATTCTCGTTTATTTTATATGTATATTAAGGGAAGTGTTTATTTCAATTTACATTCCTCAATTAAAGAGGTCAGATTGAAATATCATGTTTATTTTATTTCATATATAGTTTTGAAAGAAAAACAACTACATACTAACAATGTAATTCTAACCTTTCATCTTTACATGAATACACTTCATCCCATTTGGCTTACTATTCCATCTCTTAAGCATTCTAATTCTTACAAAATT